ACAACACACACACAACACACACAACACACACAACACACACAACACACACAACACACACAACACACACAACACACACAACACACACAACACACACAACACACACAACACACGCACACACACGCACACACGCACACACACGCACACACACGCACACACGCACACACACGCACACACGCGCACACACACACACACACACGCCCACATACACACGCACACACACGCACACACGCGCACACACACACCCACACACACACACAGACAGAGACACATACACTAATGCCACACTACTCCCCAGATCTCCCCATAAATGCCTCTCTGCGAGGCCCTCCCTGTTCAGGAGTTTATATATATATATGGCCCCTATTCAGGGCTCTGCTCCCTGTGCAGGAGACTAATGATCCCTATCCGGTCCTCGGTCACGATGTCCTCCGCTTCTTCGCGTTCTTTTCCAGGGGTCGGCGGCAGGGGGCGTTAGCCCTTAAATTCAAGAACTTCAAGATAATTCGAGCATATTCAAGCACCTATCTATTTGATTTCCATTTTTGAGATCAATCCCATTTTCGATTTCTTCGATTTCTTTGATGAAAGAGGGCACTTCTGGAAACCAACTCATCCCATGGCCTGTCTGTGCCAATGCATGCACAGCACTTGCCAGCTCTAGACGCAAGCCGTTGATCTCTGCTGATGTGGTGGACTTGAAAGCCTACCACAGTGGGCAGAGTGGTTTCAAACTGATTGGTGGGTGCTGGAAAACCACATGCCCCCAACATTGAAGTTGAAACCAGTTGAAATCTCTGAAAAAAATCAGGACATAAATATGTATAAATATGTCATAAACTAGAAGAATCTAGACTTTAGGGCCTTTAGTCTTAGTGTTCTTCCAAAATGTCGTGCTTCCAAAATAGGGACCAATGGGACGGGCGTAAGAAAAAACAATCACCACGCCACCTCCAAAGACTCCTCCACCATGCTGGCGCGCCGCAGTTGGGCGCGCACAGCCTGCTGCTCAGTTGGATTTATGGTGATAACTATACTGTATAATACTTAATGATACCTAATAGGGGTTATAACATGTTATAAACATATATAAATGATTATAAATGGCTGGCACCACCTTGTTCTGATGATGAATCTACAAAGATGGGTGGCAATTTCTGCTGGGAGTAACTAGCATGCTGGTGTAATTGTTGCCACATTCGCTCTTTGTTGGACATGTTTTGTGTGCTTGTGCTTTATTTCTTCGCCATCATTGTGGCTTTGCTGGCAAAAAAAAAATCCACAAGACTAAGATCTTCCGAACAAATTCTCGGTACTGTGTGGTTGGCTGATCAAGTTAAAAGGGCAAAGCCCATGACCAACCTCATATCCAGGCTGGGAACAGGTAGCACTGTGGTAATGTTTCATCTCAATCAGCTGTCAACCACATTCAACAGACAATATCTGGCTGGTGGTTTCAAACCATCCCAAAACAGCTGTCATTCGTACATAATCGTCCCTAATGGGATTAGAAAACAAGGGTTCATGAAGAGCAAGGAACATTACTGAAGATATAGAACTTACATTGAACTTACTATGTTTTTTTTCTTCCACTATACAATAATTTCAGTAAATTCAGTCAATGCCATCAGCTGAGCAACCGCGCCTGTTCCACCTTCGAATCCAGCTCTCCCCTCAAATCCTGGGCAAGCCATGACCATGGCAACAACCATCGGCCCATGGCCCAATTCCCACCTTGGCGAAGGAGTCCAGGCTATCGTGTTGCGACTCACTGAATTTGGCCTGCACACCGAGATTGTCGCGATACAACTTCCGGAGATAGATAAGATAAGATAAGATTAGATTAGATAAGATAAGATTAGATTAGATAGATATAGAGCCAAACCCCATTCAAACCAGTTTGCCATTACAAACCATTATCCAGCGAATCTAGTGACCTGCCTCTGCCGCTCTCGCACTCAGCTAATGCCAGGCTTCAAAAACACTTACCATGATGTGACATACCGCATGCTGGTCTGATTGGTGGCTTCACAACATTCCAAAGTATCCAGAAGTACAGAATTAGCTTGAGATCATCAACTAGAGCTAGAAGTACAGAATTAGCTTGAGATCATCAATTAGAGCTAGAAGTACAGAATTAGCTTGAGATCATCAATTAGAGCTAGAAGTACAGAATTAGCTTCGGATCATCAATTAGAGCTAGAAAATTAGAGATATTTTCAAAACCACCAGCAAGTCTAAGTGGTTCACCATCAGCAGCCATGTCGCACGAATTTTGTCTCAACGCAGGTCATGTCGCAGACATCTTGTCGAGCTCCTCGAGGCGGCCTCGATGGGATGGTGAAGCTTCCACAGCTGCACCTTGGACGCGCTTGCTCTGCCCAGAAGACAGATGTCTTGGCCCAAGGGGGCTGACGCGGCCTCCTTTCGACAAGACCAAATCTAGGCAACAGTTCACTGGACCTTGAACCCCCTGTGCTGCCCTTTTTCCCGTTGTCACTCACGAACTCACGAACTCACATGCAATCATGCTGCAATGCACACAGGCTTTGCCTGGGCAAAACTTCAGCAGGTTGATGCGACCCCTGTTGCAGTATGCTTCAGATCTTTTTGCTACAAGCACACCCCAGGAGAAAAAAACGTCTCGCAGGGGTGACAGGGTTCCCACCATCAACCAGCTGGAGCTTCTCCCAAGTTTCAGGATCGCACAGATGCACGGATTCCTGCTGTGCTGGACACTTGACCAGCTTCATCTTTCCTACCATCAAAGCATCTGAAGCTGAGCAAATTGCTTCCCCTGATTTGCGGCAGCTACTTCAAGCATACTTCAAGCATACTTCAAGCATACTTCAAGCATCTAGAAAAACCAAGTCGAACAATGTAGAGTTTGTCATTGGTGCCAAGATTGTGTACATGCCTGTCAAACACACATCTGCCTGGATTTAACATTTGCCTTACTCAACTGTTGGCTCGATGTTCACATTGCCGTTCAGCTTCATCTGAGGCCAGCGGTGGCCTGAGAGCTTTGGTGGTGAGGTTTCCTTCTGGCCTGGAGCTACAAGTGCTGTATGGTCGAAAACACCTTGGAGCATCAGCACTGCGCCACTGCCAGCTGCGAATTCTGGCCTCTCCAACCGCGGGAAGGGTTTCATCTGGCGGTCGGGTTCTTGATCGCAAGGGTGGCTGGGCACACTGTACTCGTGAAGCTCCAGAAACTCGAAAACGCTGAGCGCAATGCCCTGGTTATACATTGGTATCATCCCATTTTACTGCCTGGCAACTGAGTGGTATAGACTATAGAGGTTCCCACGATGGGCTATAATACGCTGTAACAATGCCTATACAACTGTAGGGTAGTACAACCCCTACAATAACCTACCTATAGGATCCAATCATTGTTTTGGGGACTGGCCCATGTTGTGGTTCACACATATTCATAATGTGTTTATATAATTACCTGAAGCGGCCTAAGTACAAAAAAAGTTGAACTCTTGGTCCATTGAACGCAAGTGCCCCACAAAGAGACACAAAACCCTTAGATTGTACCAAACGTGCCATTTGGATCAAACGGTCAGTTTTGAATAGATACCTTCACTTTTTGGGCCAACAACCCCATGACCAAGTTCTCAGTGGTAACCTTTGATGATGCTATGGTCATTGGGAGCACTCACATGGATGTTCACCCATGGCAATCAAACAATTTCGAGCATTTCGGGATTCATTTGAAAAGGCCACCATTCAACCTATCTTATCTCATGCCCACATAGACCTTGCCGCGATATTGGTCTTTGTGGAGATCTAAATCTTCTTGAAGGCGGCTTCCCGCCCACAGCCCTGCACTTTTTTCTGCATGGTTTGCAGCATCGCATCTTGATCAGTTGATCATTGGTAGAAAGACCTTAGTGCGGCAATTGACACATACCTTTTCGATGCCTATGGCCTTTGAAGGCTCAGAACACATGTGGCAGTGTGCCCGTTTTGTATCAGAGAAACGAATGCATGCTGTGCATGTCAGGATAGGATCAAGATATCCCCGCACAAAAAACACGAAAAACATTTTTCTTTAAAAGATATGTCTCATTCCGCGCTTGCAGAGCAATGGGAAGCAGTGGGGGAAATTCGGGACAAAGCTCGAAAGTTGGAGTTGGTAACTTGCATGTACATATTTGCAAAGTGCATGTGATATGTAACATATACTTGTGTGTTGATCCCTGTCCCTTTGAAATCTTTCACTCTCCTATTCTGAGGTGGAAGTGCTGGATGGTGAGGTTGACCGGGATGCTGTGCGGAACAACATTCCCGTCTTGAAAGTTGCTGCGCGCTTTCTAGGGCTTCGGGTTGGTGTCCGTACATGTACGGTTCATGTGCAAGCTTTGTACGACTACATGCGCGTTCCCTGCCCCAGATGCTTTGTCTTTTACAGAAATGCTAGTTTACATATAAACGCAAAATAAGTGCCATATCCTGACTTATTTTTGCTTTGTTCTCATCACTTGCTTCTTGTAGATGTGGATGCTCATGTGTTGGATGTTCTCAAAGGGGTAGCTTATGAGACAGATTTCAAATGCATGTTTCACAATTCGACATGCACATATATATGCATGTCTTTTGGATGTACTCTAAGGACTCACTTACGAGACACAGGGATGGCAATTGAAACGCTTGTTGAGTTTCACAAAGAACAGATTGGCAAATCGTCCACATCGGCCTCGCGACCCATGTCTTCGAGAATACATGTCCAGTATTGGTATTACTTGGCCAGAGCCAACAACCAACAAAGATGAGGGGAGCGACGATGAGTCATGTACAACCACTGAGTCTGAAGATACTTCAGAGAGTGATGCCGAAGAGCAGGTTTCCACTTCTAGAAAAGAAGAAGTAAGTGAGGAGAACAAAGCAAAGGGCAAAGTAAGTGAGGATGGAGGCAATTGTTTTATTATATATATGTTTTCCAACCCTTAGTTGAAGCATGTGCAACCAAATTTCAGTTTGCATTGCATGTATGCCCGTATCCAACCCACGCCCTGCCCGCTTTGCAGGTGAAACGGCTGCAGCTTCTCTCTCCACCAGTCAGGTGGCCACCCCTGTGAGCCCATTGGTGGCCACCCCTGCGAGCCCATTGCTGGTCACCCCGCCTCCCAAGTACCCGGTTGTTCCCGTGGTTACACCAGACCCAGTAGGTGTGCCAGTTTCTTGGCTCAATGGTATTGTATGATGCATGCACATGTAACAATCCTGCCAATGGTGTTGTATGCATACGCATGCAAATGTATCAACTGCCAATGGCCTTTTATGTAATTATTTATAATATATATATGCATGCAAATGATTACTTGCAAATGAAGTGCTGGTGTGACATGTTGCTTCTGATATAAGCGTAATGGGATGTTGGGTTCATACTGTCATGCTCTCAGGTTGACCTTGAAAGGAAGCGCCGCCAGTTGGTCATGCTGATGGAACTGGAGAAACAACTTGAAACCCTGAAGCGTTTGGAAGACCTAGCAAGTGTTGCCCAGAGTCAAGAGCCTGAGACACAGCAAGGAGCCACTAGCTCTACATAGATGAAATCATATCATATAAATATATGGTTGCAGCTATTGCTTGTTACCGCCCTACAACCCTATGGTTGTGCATGTGCACGCACAGGACTGCCTTTGGACATTGATGTCGTGGACACACTTCCTCTTGACATGGAGGCTGTTGATGCGCTTCTGAGTGAGGAGTCTTAACTATATTTGCTGCCACTACAAGATCTAATGTTGTGTTTTGAATTGGACGTGCATCCGGCAATTATTTTGGGTTTTCCAGGAGACATCTACAAAGCTCAAGATTTCTACCTTTGATGGCAAGGCTTTCAATTTGTCAGCCTGAACCTTTCCTTGTGACCAAAAAACCAGCTACCCTTCCTGCAGCCTCTGACAGGTTCCTGAACCTACTGGACATGAGCCTGCTGGGCCACCGGGGACCGAGTTGGAGGAACAAACAAAAGTTGCAAGGTTTCACTTTTAGGATTCACTTTCGATCGAGTGCGTGTGTAATTTCTTTGGGGGTGTTCCAGGAAGCTACTGGGAAGCCTGCTGAAGAGTTTCCCATGAACAAGGACCAGGCCCTTCAAGGTATATTTTTGAACCCCATATTGCCCACAGAGCCTACCCTGTGCTACTCCAGGCAATTGGTGATGAAGAACCGCCAAGAGAGTGGAAGGAGCAACGCGCTTATACGGCGCATACCTTTAACATGATATCAATCAGAAAAGGGCACCCTAGATATGTAAATTGACTGACTATGGGAGTTATGGTGGGTTAGGTTCTGAAATTTTACAAGTCATATGCTTGCAACTTAAAAGAAGGGTGCCTTTCCCTGATTGGTGATCAAGCAATCTCATTTGATGCATCTGTGGTCACCGTATCACGCAGATGAGGCATCACACTAAAAATGCACACACCAGCACCATCACACACACATACACACCAAAGCCATTCACAAATTTATAGGACCTTTCTCCTGAACCTGAACAACATCTACCTGGAGAAGCCGTGGCTCCAACCGAGGATGGCCAGGGTTTTTAAAATGTACTTGGCCCCTTCTCTGATTTCCCTAGTGTTTCCATCCTGCGTTTTTCATTGAGCGTCGTGCCAATTCTTGCAAGGAGGCAGCATCGATTCCTGATGTGCTGCCGGGTCTCAATGCAGCCACTACCACTGAGGAGTCTGTGGTTATATCTGATTTTCCCGAATGTTTATCGTTTGATTTATATAGTTGGTTTCAAGATTCCTGTCATACTGATCATATATGGTCACCTATGGCTAAATATATAGACCCACAGATACCGGACAAGTACATGGCCAATAGTATAATTCATGGTCCATGCTATCCCTGTCCTTCAGGAGTCTGCCGCGGAACCAAAGGGCGAAGATCCTAGCCTGGGTCACGCTGATGAGGACAAAAGTTGGGCTAAGAGCTGGGAAACCATTGGCTTGAAGCACATTTGGGGATGTTTCAATTGAGACATTCATATGTCTTTGTCCTAGCTAGGATGGGCCTGTGTCTAAGAATGACTTGGCACCACAAACTACGGAGGTGGGGAAGGGTTATGAGCAATTTCAAAACAGTGGCAAGTCTTTTCAGGTCAAGAAAAGCTATATAGAACTCGATCTTAAGTTTTTTTTGCGCTGGTTGTGCGCTAGGTGCCCATGGTGGTGAGTGAGCGCTCCCCACATGAGGAGATTGTTTTCCTCTTCCAATGCTTCACTTGATGCTGCAAGTGTGCAATTATACATATCTTGTGCCAGGATAATGGCTTTGTTCCATACAGTCAGCGTATCCGTCAATTCTTTGAGCGTTATCCTGGCGCTTCAATGCCTCTTGAGGCGTGTCCCATGGTTGGGGCAACTTCATGCAATATTAGTATATATAATATATAATCATGCACATATCTCATAAGTGTACCTAATATCATTTACACATGTCATTTGCAAATCTTTGCCTGTCAAAGTTGCCAATGTGACTAGTGCGCGCACGCCCATGTGCAGGAGAACAATGATGCTTGTGAAGACCCCAAGCTCGCTGACAGTGAGGACATGGGCCAACATGTGTTTTTTGTTGTATGTGTCCGCATATGCTATATATATACATGCATATAATAATAATAATAATATATATATATTTCATATATATATATATGTTACATATATATATATATATCATATTTTCCTCAGCACGTGTATTTACAATATGTACGAGTGTGGTGCAGGAGTTAGCCCAAAAGTTGAAGAGTGACCTTGGTCGCCCCTCGTGTATGAATGCAGATACCTTTATCCACCCGGATACCCAGTGCCCCAAAAAACAACGAGGCAGGAAGAAGAAGCAAAGCAACACACAGACACCAAGCAACACTGAACCTGAGGTGGCAAAAGACCAAGGACATGGTGAGGTTGAACCCAGGAAACGTAAAGGTAAAACTGCTTTGCCCACAGGTGCCCAGAACGGCTCCTCAGACCGCCCATCAGCGGCTGCATGTGGGTTCTCAACAGAAGGCATGACAGATGCTGAGGTACGCAACAAACTCCAAGGTTTGCAGAAGGCCATCGAACAAGACACATGCCAGGTTGAACCAAAGAAGCGCAGGGGTAGGAAGGCATCAGCCACACGTGCAACTTCCAGTAACCCATTGGCAGCTGCCAGTGGTGCCGAGCTGGATGACAAACCCAAAGGTAACATGCCAGCAGAGAGCACTGTTGAGGTGAAGGTGAAGCGCAAGAGAG